CAGGCAGCGTTCTGAGCCCTTGAAATGGAGCCTCTCAAACCTCACAACCCTAAGAGGCAGAAATTGGTATCATCCGCAGTTTACACATGAGGAAACTGAGGCAAGGAGAGATTTCAGTAACTTTTTCAAGGTCATGGAAATAGCAAAGGGTGGAGCCAGAGTTTGAACCCCCTTTGGACCCCCCCGTTACAGCAGGGCCTGGCACCGAGCAGAGCTCAACGCCTGTTGTAAGTGATCATCAGTGCGGTCCTCCTCGGGACCCTGGCTGCCTCTCCCTCTGTGTTCAGCGGAAGGAGCCACAGCCCCCGGCCTGCTGTGCCTGTGCCCCGGGCATGCTTGTGTGCCTGAAAGTGGAACAGAACCTACTAGAGAGACACGCCCAGTTACTTACACCTGGTTGGGGGTCTTGGAATGAGTCAGATACAGTTCCCCCATGGGGGAGCTCCCAACTGAGTGCAAGATGAAATGAACTGAAAATTATTAACCCCAGAGAAAGCCCAAAAACTTAAAAAAATAAAACTTCCCTGGATCATGCAGCTGCTAAAGTGGCAGAACTGGGACTCAGACCCAGGCTAATTTGACCCCAAATTCTATGATATTTTTATCAAGTCATGGTCCCCAGTTGATGCTGAGTGCTGGGATACAGAGGTGCAAGGTCTTATTGGCAGGGAGCTCATGTGGTAAAGGAGAGGGGCAGGCTGTGAACCCAAACATCTCATGGATGGGAAGGGCTCTGCCATGATCAGCTCAGCAGCCATGGAGCACAAAGAAAGAAATGTACTGAAACATGTTCTCCTTAAAGGAGGGGGTACTGTCTGTTGTGTTTCTCACTGTACCCTGAACCCAGCACAGGGCCTGGCACATCTTCATTTTCAGTGAGAGTTTGATGTGTGTGTGAAGGGGGAAGAGACCAAAGTGCCTAGGCCAGAAGGAAGGTTAATCAAGAAAGATTTGTCAGATGAGTTCTTATTTGGGTGGGCCTTGAGGGATGGGTTAGGAGTTTGCTAGGTGGAAAAAAGGAGAAAGGCACTCTAGGCATTTGCAAAGGAATAACAGGACAGAATAAAAAGTCTCTCAACCTTTTTAAAATGACAATCCACAACATGCACATACACAATATATACATGCACACACATTGTGCACACAATATACACACACACAATTGGAAGTTTGTTATGTGCAATACCCTCTCAATTTTTTATTTATTTCCATTTTGTAAATGTTAGTGGCAGCCCACTAATTTGTTGTGATGTGGGCTTAGGGGATTTGGGAAAGATGGAGGCTGGAAGGGAAATTTGGAGCCAGGCTGTAAAGACCTTAGGAAGCTAGGGTGATGATTTGGACCCTTTTCAGTCCTTGCTTCCCCTGCATGGTCGGATCCTGCAAACTCCTAGCTCCTTCTCTGGCAGTTTGAATAGCTTCCTGCCTCTCTGGCTAGTCTTCTTCAGTTGCCTTTAGCTTTTCCTTTCCCCAGCTGGCTCTCTAAATCATGCTGAGTTCCTGGGGCTTTGTGCTGGGCTTTCCTCACGGGGCCTTCTTGGCCTCCCACAGCACCCATCCATGCCTTGGGTTGAAGGACACCCCACTTCCAGCTGTGGAGATCCATCACCTTGAAAGCCCACACCCTTCTTTTTGAGCCAGGCACATACAATCAGCTGCCCTTCCAGTGACCTGCAGATATCTCAAACTCTGAAACTAAGTTCATCTCCTTCCGACAGGTTCCTCCTCTGTCCCATCTTTGTGTTGTCCTCACCAGTCTTGCACACTCTCTCACAGGACAGAATCATGTCCTTGCGACCTCCTTATCCTGTCTATTCTGCTCTCAATTCCATCCACTTCTCTCCATGCCACTGCCCTTGTCCAGGCTGGGCCTTTTCTCTCTAGATGACTGTTCAACCGCCTGCCCCTTTCTACCAGTTCTCCATAAGAGCTGCCACCATGAGCCTTCTGAAAAAGAGATCGGATCATGTGACACATTGCTTCTCTTTATATAAAGCCCAAACTTGTTAATATTCCCTAAATGTTGGGTCTCTTCTCTGCAATCCTCCCACACCCCCATTGCCTCTAACACTCTGTTCTCCAGACCTATCAGAACTCCATGGGCTCTGCTTCCTTTGGCTTCAAAACCTCTATCTAGTTAACACCAACTCATTCTTTCTGGATCCCAGTGTAGGAACATCTCCTCCAGGAAGCCTTTCCTGACTTACCCAGACTGAATTTGGAGCCCCTGCCTCTGTGTGCGCAAGTCCACGGTGAATACACCAGTTTCATACCTAACACTTTCTTTTTTTACTTCAGTGGCCCAAGTCTGTCTTCTCCATTAGATGGCAGTATAATTGAGGGGCTAAGGACAGAGGTCAAAGCCAAAACTCTACAGGCTAAAATCCCAGCTCTGCCATGTCCCGGCTGAGGGAGTTTTGGAACTTGACCTAGTCCCCCCATGATTTGCTTTCCCCATACTGTAAAATAATGGTAGTTGTGATGATACTGATGTTAATGAGAAGAACAGCTGATAGAGGATTCAATGAGTTATGTGCTTCAGTTCTCAATGACAGTGTAAGTGCTGTCTTTGTGTTTGGTGATTCAGTCAGTCCTCAGACTAGTTACTCCAGGACAGCAGACCCTGGATTGATCTGATCCACTGCTGTGTCCCCAGCCTCTGCCCCAATGTCCTGGTCATGAGTGTGGCCCAAATGAACCTTTGGTCTAAGAGAATGTTGATGCATATAGAAAAGAAAGTGCACATTCGAGCCGTGCCTTGGAGGCAGGTTGCTGGGGGCTCCATGCTGACTGAGTCTGTGGGTGATATGGGAGGAGGAAGAGGTGGAAGAACATGGCCAAGGCAAACCTTGTGACTTTTCCTCCCAAACCTTCCACTGTTTCAGTTCACCCTCCACCCTCACCCTCATTGTTCACTGACACCTCCATCCATGCAAGGACTCCAACTGGCATAAGAGTCATTGTTCATTCCTCTCTTCACTCTCTCTTACCCTCCCCTTCTCTACTGAGTCCTTCCCAATTCTATCTGTACTGTTGGTACCCTAGGCCCAACACCCTCCCTCCTTTCTGCGCCCACTTCTACCGTAGTTATTCCAATTATGATTGCTGTGTAACAAGTGACCCCAGAGCATAGTGGCATAACAACTATTCCATTATGCTCACAAATTATGGGGCTCAGGAATTTGGAGAGGGCACACAGGGGATGACTGCAGAAGCCACTGTCTATAGTGCTTCAGCTGGGGAGACTCGAAGGCAGGGATGACTTGATGGAGCCTCTTCACCCACTGTCTGGCACCAGGGCTGGGCTAGCTCCAATGCTGCACTCAGCTGGGACTGTGGACTGGACATATACGTGTGGCTTCTAAATACATCCGGGCTTTCTCACAGCATGCATCTGGCATTTTCCAGATCCTTCTGTGGTGGCTGGGGGCTCAAAGAGGGGTGCTCCAGCTGAGTCAGAGGTTGCATTGCTTCTTATGACACGACCACGCAAGTCTTGCCACATCACTTTGGCCACACTTTATTCGTTGAAGCCCTCAGAAACCTGTCCAGATTCAAGCAGGGAGAGCACAGACAACCCACCTCTCATTGGGAGGCGTGTCAAATACTTCCGTGCCTATGTTTCAAAACCACCACTCAAACCCAAACCACCAATGTCTCATACCTGGAGTGGTGGGTCGTCGCTCACTGGTCTGCCTGGCTCCACTTTGTCCAGCAGCACCCCATGTTGTCTCTCCCATAACTCTGTTTTATTATCTCCATTTGTCCCTGGGATACCTGAAATTATTTATTTGTTTACTTTTGGTCTGTCTCCCTCACAAGCTCTAAGAGAGAAAGACCCTTGTCTTTCTTGTTCCTTGTTATACTTACGGTTCCCCACCATGGCGCCTGGCATAGGCATTTGTGGATTGTGAATGAAGGCATGACCAGTAGTTTTCAAGGAATGGGTGTGTGGTTTGAAAAAGCAATTCTAGAGGACAGGTAGGCCTGGCCTAGGCGGGTAGAGGTGGGGTACTAGAGTGGGGCATTGCCACTCATTAGCTGGAGACTTTGGGAAAACACCTTCGCGCCCCTAAGCCTCAACTCCTTCAGCTGAAACTTGAGTCCCACAGCCCCTAGCTCATTGAACTGGGGAGTGTATCACAGGACGAGTTGAGCACCCTTGGTCAGCCAGGAGGCGATTCCCGCGAGAGGCCAAGCTGCACTACCTGTTATGCCCGCCAGGTGTCGCCCTGAGAGTGTGCTGAGCAGCCGTCTGAACCCTGCGCTCCCAGGTGGCTCCATCACCCCACTTCTCGATTCAGTGCGGGGCATCCAGGCCTCAACCCTACTCCCACTGTCGGCTAGAAGAGGGATTCTGGAGGAGGCTTCCCGACCTAAGCACCCACCTGCTGTCCCAATAGAACAGACAGGGGTAGGGGTGGAATATGCTGAGCTAGTTATCCTTGCTCCGCCAAAAGCCCTAAGGAAGGGGGTGCTCTCCCCCGAAGCGGGCCTCGAAAGCCCGGAGAAAGGTGGAACTGATTGCGACCTAACACCGCACAGCCAGCTCCACGCTCTTCGCTAGGCGAGGAGGACAGGCAGATAAGACAGGGCCAAGGGTTCCCAGCCGAGGTCGGATTCCCCTCCCCCGCACACATCCAGCCCTGAGCGCAGTACCTGGGCGCCCACACTCGCCCCGCAACTTGGGAGTTAGAGACCTCTGGGGATCGAGTGGATTCCCATCTCCCCCCAACTCGGCTCAGCGTCCCGGAGCCGGGAGAGGGCGCCGCGGGAGCGCGAGGGGCAAGCCGCAAGCGCGCGCCGGGAGCAAGCTGCAGGGTCCCGCGGGCACGGGGGCGCGGGGCGGGCGCTCCGGGAAGGCGGGCCGGGGAGGGACAGGAGAGAAGAGGGAGGGAGAGGCAGGGGCGTGTGGGTGCCGAATCCTCACACTCGCCGCGCCTCGCACTTTCGCACCGGCAGCTCGCGCCCAGCCAGCCCGGCGTAGCTCCGCGAGGCGTTCGCTCCTCCCACTCTCCTCCGGCTCCGCGGCTCCCGCGCTCCCCGCGAGGCTCAGGGGCAGAGTCTGCGGACGGGCGCACGGACTGACGGTCCCGGGGACACCTCGGCCCGCGCCTCCCGGGCGGGCTATGTTGATTGTCCTGCGGGGGTTGGCTGGCGGGATCAGCGCAGCTCGGCCCGCGGCCCCGGCGGCCAGCGGGGACTATGAACCGGAAAGCACGGCGCTGCCTGGGCCACCTCTTTCTCAGCCTGGGTATGGTCTACCTCCGGATCGGGTAAGGGCCGCTCGGGTAAGGGACGTGCACGTCCCGACAAAGTTGGCGTGGCCCGGGGAGAGATTGCGCCGCCAGAGAGCCACCGTTGGCCACCAATTTCCGCGGCTCCTCAGAGAGGCAGGGTGGGCGCGGTGCGGGAGCGATGGGCGCGCAAAGGTCCCTCGCGGGCGGGCGCCCCAGGGGTACGCAGAGCCCGAGAGGCACGAGCAGCGAGACTGGCCGTCCCGAGGACATCTGAGTCTGGAAGCCCCCAGAAGCAGAGACAGCCAGTAGGGACGCTCCAGCTTGGGAGACGCAGGAGAGAGCTAACCGCTGCAAAGGGCTGGCCGGTCCCCACGGGCCAGCAGGTCCAGCAGGAACACTGAGCCCGGGTCCAGGACCACAACCACCCCCAGGGAGCTCAGCCCCCAGAGCCCAAAAGGCGCGGCACAGCCTCTCCCAGAGACGGGGCAGTCCCTGGTGGCAGGCGGGGCCGGTCTGTGCCACAGGGAACAGGTACCCAGAGGGAGGGACGTTCGCTGGCAAAAAATACAAATCCTGCTCAGAACCCCGGCACTACAGGATTTCCAAAGACCCTCAGACTCCCAGAGCCCCTTCTAGGCCAAGGGGACAACGCCTACCAGCTGAAACAAACACACACAAAGGTAGGACGAAAGCTAGCCTGACAGACCGAGGGAGACAAGCTCGCAGAGCCAGCGCCCCCGAAGAGGCCGAACACACCGCCCCCTAAAACTGGGTGCCGGTGTCTGTCTGCGCGAGGCTAGAGTAGCCCTCACCGCTTCACCACCGCATTTCTACGGACGTGGGGCCTTAGGGCGGTGCCCTGGTTGGGAGGTTGGGGCTGGGGGTGGTGGTGGGCGTCTCGGGACAGATCTTGGAGCAGCATTTGCATGGCTGGTCACCCTTTGTACGTAGGAGATGAGCGTGTGAAAGCCGCATGGGGTGAGGGGGGCTTCAGGGATCGATAGAGGTTCTGGCGCTAAATGGGCCACCTTGGCAGGTTGCGCCCAACCTGCTCCCCCGCCCCCAAGAAGGGAACCTCCCTACCGTTCCGCCAGGAGAGGGGGCAGGCTAGGGGTGGTGTATGGCAGATCCTTTGTGTTTTGTCGCTATCACTCCTCCCCCTTGCCCACCCCGCGGCTCTGGAGCGGGGATTTCTCAAGTTGAGCCGCAGTGGAAACAAGCAGGTGCGCACAGAGCGATCGCGGCGGCCCGCCAGCCGCAGCCGCGGGCGGAGAGGCGGCTGCGGGCCGCGCGCTGCCTGCCTGCCGGTGTGTTTTAAGTGTTATTGATTCGCCCGCGGCTGAGTGGCTTTTCTTTTCCCCTCTACTTTAATCTTCATCTTGGCTGCGGCACCCGCCGCCACGCGCGCATCCAGCATCCAGGAAGCCGGTCCGGCTGATTGGCGCTGGCCGCTCGCGGCTTTATCTCCTTTTTAATTAGGAACGGGGTGGAGGGACAAGGGAGGGAAGAGAGAAAGGGAAAAACAACAGAAAATAACCTCCCTTGGCTGCACCACCCGCCCGACCTCCCGCCGGCGCCAAGACCTCGTTGACTTCTCAGGGGCCCAGCCGTCCGGAGGGAGGGACCCACGGAAGGAGCCGACCTGCGGCCCCGCAGCCGCCCTTTGGGGTGGAGAGAGGTCTAGGCAGGGAGAAGGAATTGCAGGATGATTTGGAACCAGGCTCTGCTGCTCCGTGGGCCTCAGGTTATCCATCTGTAAAATGGGCATGAGGGGTAAAGTCCCTAACAGGCCTTCTAGTTCCCCAGATGTGACTGGTTCCTTCCTGCTCAGGACTGATGGCAGGGCATCTGTGATTTTCTTATTTTATATTCGTAGTTTATGTGACTGAAGCATTAGCCCCTTGTGACAATCAAATCCCATAACAACAACAACAACAACTTTAACAACAAGATCTTCTAAGTGCTTTCCATGTTTTAACATGTTTAATTTTTACAACAATCCTATGAGGTAAAATAATTATCAGGCCCAATAATTATCAATATTCTCATTGTAGCCATGGAAGTACAGAGAGGGGATGTAACTTGCCCAACATCACACAGCTATTATAGGTGAAGGAAAGGTAGGTGGCACCCTAGCTTTGACCTCTTAGCTGCTACATTATTGTTCCTATGAATTTTTGACCCTAATATATCATTACACTTCTCTGCTGATGTAGGGATTTCCTTGTGATTCTTTCTGACTTGTGGACAGGAGATGGACTTAATCTTTCTATGCCACCTCTTCCTCAAACATTTCAACCATTCTGGCTCCGTGTTAGACTCTGTTTTAATGGATGAGATGAATGGCCAGTAGTTCTCACTGGGTTCCTGTTTCAAATCCATCACCTGCTAGCCTCCCTGTCTCATTCTCTGTAAGCCTCTGTTTTCAGATATGTGAAGTGGGTAGGGTGAGTCCTGCCCAACAGGGCTATTTAGAAAGGCCACATGGGCTAATGTTTGTGCCAGCACCCACCATATTGCCTTGACACATATGAGGGAGGCTGCAAAAGTTCATGCATTGATGTGTCTACTGCATATTTGGAGAGCAGGTGCTCATCCTAAGTGACATTTTTTGAAGCTCCACAATCCATTCAGTAGCCATTTAGTGAACTGGAAGACAGCCTTCCTGACCTCAGAGAGCTCATAGTCTAATGAGAAAGATAATAAACAAATGAGCAGGAAAATTAAAAACAAATATATTAAGACATTTCAGAAGACCAGACCATGAGTAGCAAGAATATTAAGTAAACAAAATAGAGGTTGTGATGGAAAATTAGGAAGGGTGGGGTGGGGAGGCAGGCTCCCTTAGCTGGATTGGTCAAGGTGGTAACTCTTGAGATCCCATAAATGAATGACAAGAAGCTAAGCATGTGCAGCTCAAGGGGTGAGAGCTTCTAGGGAGAGGTACCAGCAAGGACATAGGGCCTAAGACAGATAGAAGGCTGGCACGAGGCAGGAGTGGAGGGAAAGAGGACAGGAGTGGTCAGTTATGCACCTGGAAAGGTGTGGGACCTCAGGTGCTGTTGGTACAGGGTAACTATGCTTTAAAAAATCTCGGTTCCAGCGCAGCTTTCCACTCCTGAGCTCCAGGATGGAGAGCATGAGGCACTTAGCCCAGTGGCTGGTCATAACCCTCATTAAGTGGAAGCTCTTATTATTATAACCAGAGTGAGGCATCTGGGTTAAAATCTTCTCTTTCAGAGTAGTCCTGAGGATTGTACAAAAGGAAACTACAGATAAGTAACCCATCTTTATATAAAGGATGGGCTATCTAAATCATCGGGGTTACTATTGGAGCCTGTTTGGGGTTATCTTGATATTAGGAAATGGCCCTACCCTTAGGCTCATAACCATGAGTCACACTGATGTCTATCTTCCCCTTGTACCTTTGCCATTTCTCCCCTTAGCTCTACCCTATCCATCAGTCCATCAGTCCATCAGTCCATAGCAAGTTTGGCCAACTCTATCTGCAGCCACCCCCATCACTGCCACCAATGCCATGCCACTACCACCACCTCTTGTCTGGCATCCTATAGTCCTATGGGGCTGGAGAGATGAGATCTTGTCAGTATCATGCCTGCAGACCTTCAGTGTTTCCTGAAGTATCTGAGAAAATTTCAGCCTGGGACATCTCTTGTCCCTAGCATGTCTTCCTTCCCAAGCTCTGGTTTGCACCAGCTTCTAGGGGTTATTACTTGTCAACAGTTCCCCTCCCACGACTTGGCATTTTCTGTTGCCTTTGCCCAGAATGCTCTTTCCCAGACCTTCCCACTGCTGGCCAATCAGATCTCTGCTTCACTGTTACTTCCTCAGGGAGGTCTCTCTCCTTGACCACCCCAGCTCAAGTGGCCCCTGTTCCTTTCCTCCCAAATCCACTCCTAACTGCCATCACCGCATATTTACTTACTGTTTTCATAGTGTGTATCATTGTCTGAAATGGCCTGTTGGGTTCATTTATGATGTGAATAACCAGAGGGAGGCATCTGGGGTAAGATCTACAGTTCTACAGCTTCTTGAGGATGGGGACTTTGCCTGTCTCCCAGCATAGGGCCTGACACCTGATAGTTGTTTAATATGTATTTATTCAGTGAATGACTTTCACCAAAATAGTCATAAGCTTGTTTTAGGTCAGTCGTGTCCAGAAGGGGATATAGATACATGTACTCCATTGGCTTGTGGGGAGAAAATACTTAGAGCTTCTATTGACAATTTCTCTTTAAATATATTTTGGTAACAAAAATATACATACATACCAGAAAGTATATAAGCCATGTATGAACAGTTGTTTTTTTAATGAACATCTGTGCACCCACCACCCTTTCAGAGGCAACTGCTACATGAAACTCTATATTGAGTTGGCCAAAAAGTTCATTCAGTTTTGCTCTATGATGCCTCTAGTTTGGTTGTCTTTAACATCATTCAAAATTATTTTGTTAGATTGTACTATGACAACTGTCATATCAGCATACATTTCAAAAAATTGTAAAAATTAGTGAATTTTTTGCAGACATTTTAATACTGAAGATAGAAGAAAATACACTATATTTTCAGCATTTATGCTTTATTATTTCAAGAAAGGTAAAAGTGCAACTAAAATGCAAAAAAAGATTTGCATGTGGAGAAGGTGCCGTGTCTGATTGAATGTGTCAAAAGTGGTTTGCAATGTTTTGTGCTGGAGACTTCTCAGATGATGCTCTATAGTTGGGTAGACCAGTTGAAGGTGATAGCGATCAAATCAAGACATTAGTTGAGGACAATCGATGTTAAACCACATGGGAGATAGCCGACATACTCAGAATATCCAAATCAGTAAAGTTATTTGTGAAAATGAAAAGTGTCTCTTTTATTTCATGAAAAGAGCCATATGGACATTTTGGCCAACCCAATAGTTTCCCTTTGTAGTTTTTCCACGTAGAGATGATTCCTAAACAGTATCAAGATTCATTTTGCATGAGTTTAAACTTCATCTCAATTGAATCCTACCATAACTACAAAGGAAACTTGCTTAGTTCACTCAACATTTATGTTTGACATACATTACCTTATTTTTTGGTTTTGAAAAGGAAATCACGCCTCACTAATATTGTATGTATACACTGCACAGATACCAGTGTGAAATCACAAATGAATAAACATGGGTACCAAGAAATTTGGGAGACTCCTGCTGGGAGCTGCAGGGTGAGGTGACCAGGGCCAATACCCAGGGAGGACCTGTAGGCCATGCCCCCACCCTGCGGGCCTAATGCTCCCTTTCTCTGTTCCAGTGGCTTCTCCTCGGTGGTAGCTCTGGGCGCCAGCATCATCTGTAACAAGATCCCAGGCCTGGCTCCCAGACAGCGGGCAATCTGCCAGAGTAGGCCCGACGCCATCATCGTCATAGGAGAAGGCTCACAAATGGGCCTCGACGAGTGTCAGTTTCAGTTCCGCAATGGCCGCTGGAACTGCTCAGCGCTGGGGGAGCGCACCGTCTTCGGGAAGGAGCTCAAAGTGGGTAAGTGCTCTCCAGGCACTGCAAACAGGGTCTTACAGGCTAAGCGGAGACCAGAATAGTCTCTCAGGAGCTCTCTGGGACCCCCTTACGTGCTCCGTGCTGGGATGACCCCAATATGGGATCCTGAAGGTGCCACGACTGGAATTCAGACCTAGTGAAGGCCAGTCCCTGGTTTGAATCTAAACCATGCCAGCTGTGTATGGCCCAAATGCTAACTGGCTGAGAATAGCACTTATGTTGTTTTTTAATGAAGCCCAAAATTTAAAATTTAGCTGTTTTACCTAAAAATACAAATTTCTGGCTTATTTTGAAAAATAAGTTTACACATGTATCACCATAGTTACAATGGGCTAGAGTTGAGAACACAACTTGCTTTATACCCATTCACTGCCACAGTCCCCACCACTCCCTATTATTCATTTTATAGCCAGCCTTATAAGACTTGCCTGGCCACTGTGGGCATTTCTATTTGCAACCCTTATTTTATGGGAATTGTGTGTTGCTTGGACATGCACACATAAGCATGCACAAATTGTTGGGACACACATTTAGATTTCTAAAACAATTGTGAGAAAAACCTAGTGGGAAGGGTTTGGCCACCAGGAGGCTCTGATCAGTGAGGGGAAGGCTGTGTTGTGTGTCTTGCTAATGTGTGTCTGGACTGGCAGGCCAGGACCTCTGAAGGCTTGCTTTGAACTGTGGACTCTCCTGAAAGTCCGCTTAGCCTCGGATTTCTTTGGGATGGAGTGGTTCACCTGGCCTGCTCAACTGCTCACTGGGCATTCTTGAGTCCTGTCTCTCCATCAGCCCCAACATCAACAAGTCCATTGGTTACTGAAAAAGTTCACACAAAACCCAGCCACTGCTCTGAGTCCTCACTTCCTCCCTCTTGGATCACACAGCTGGTGTATGTATCTGGGCTGCCAGGCCCCCATCTCCCACTCCCATCATCCTGCTGCTCCCTGATCCTCCTGCAGATTCTTCTGCAGGCAGGGTCATTCTTTGTAAATGGAAAGTAGATCATGTCACTTCCCTGCTTATAACCCTGGAATCAGAATGAAATCCCAACTGCTGACCTCTGCCCCCATCTGCCCCCATCTTCTCCCTCCCCTTTGACCACCAGCCTCATCCTGTTTCCCAAACATATCATACGGGGTCCTGCTTTGGGAATACAGTTGCAGGAGTTCCCTCTGCCTCAGATATTTTCCCACAACCCCATACTCCTGAGCTTTATCCTCTGTGCACATGCCTCCATCTCAGCATCCTGATCTCACAGAACTTTCCCTAGACCCCTGCATGAAGCCCTATAGCCATGAAGCCCTATCCTATCATCCAAGCACTTGGCACTGCCTTCATCTCTTCCTCATCTGTTGGGAATGTTGGCTCAGTGGGTATCGGGACCCCCTGTCACCAGTGAGTGTTTTCTTCCCATTTCTTCTTGGAAGGGAGAGCAACATAATCTCAGTCCCACCAAAGGTCTCAGTTTGTGATCACCTTCTGTAGCTGCCTTCTTACTCACACCTGATGGGGCTGCAGAACAGGATCCCAGGTTCAGGAGGAGGCTCGCAGGGATGTGGTGGCCTCTTCACACCCACACCCTTTCAACATCTTTGTAAGATAGGACGCTGCCTTGCACCACTCGCCCTTGTTCCCCTTCTCCCTAGTGCCGGGGCTCACCTTTCAGGGGGAGAACCAAGGCTCAGAGGAAAGAGGGGCTGCCCCAGATTGTGCCCAGAAATGGCATCAGTACTGAGACCCCAGTTTAGGTGGATGACATCCCCATCCTGTATTCCTTCCCTTGTCGTCACCTGTGTTTTTCCACTTTCACTTGCTCATACCCCTGTCCTCCATTTCTGGGACACAGCTCTGTGCTCTGGCATTATTTCAATTATGGGGAAACTGAGGCTCAGAAGAGACCTGTCCAAGGTCAACAAAAGTGAGTTGTAGGGTTTCCCAGGACTGGGATGATTTCAGTGCAGTTTGCAGTCTTGGAATAACCAGCCCATTGGTGTCACTGTAATAGTGCCTGCTGAGATGCAGTGGAAGGCCATGGTGCTGAGGGCCCTGCCATCCAACAGCATGCCCCCGCCCTGGCTGGAGAGAGGTGTAGAACTGAGGGATCCCTTTCAAGCTGACGTGGAGGATGACTCCATCCAGTATATATTCCAGTGTACTCGGAGTGGAGCGGAGGCCTGAGTCAGGGAGCCTTTTTCAAGAGGAGGGCTTGGACAGGCAGTGGTGGTCTTAGGGAATTCAAGCAAAGAAAGAAGCCCAGGAGAATCCATGGGATGCCCCGACCCCGGGCCTGGAAGAGAATGGGAGCCAGAGCCAGGAGGCATGTGGTCAATTTGAGCAGTTTGAATTTCTCGGTGGTGGGAGCAATTGGAAAATTTTGAGCATGGGTATGACTGCCAATGTAAGTCACATTGTATAAAATAGCCACTATACAATGACTTGGGGTCCATAAAATGGCAGTATCATATGATTCAATCCAATGGGAATTCTGAATTAAAGGGTGGGTGCAGAATTCATTCATTCATTGTGATTCACTGATTCACTCATGTATTCACCCACTGTGGCTGGAGGCTGTTGTTCTACCTGTGTGGTCAGGGAAGGCCTCTGAATTCATGATGTGGGTGAATCTCAGGCATGTTGAGGGGATGAGCCTGCCAGGCAAAAAGAATGGCATGTGCAAAGGCCCTGAAGCAGAAACAGGCTTGAGGAACTGCAAGGAGGCTGGTATAGCTGGAGTACAGGAAAAGAGGGGAGAAAGAAAGGCTCAGAGGTCAGAGGAGCTGGGAGCTGGACAATGCTACGTCTGTCAGGCATAGGCAGGATTCTGGATTTCCTTCCCTCCATTAAATGGAGAGCAAGAGAGTGACAGGGGCTGACTTCAGATTTAGCAGCATTGCTCTGGGCACTGGAAATGGAATGAACTGTGGAGGGACAAAGGTGGGAGGTGGGAGTCTGGTCCCGTTTTCCAGGCAGGAGGTGACTGGTGGCTGTGGAGTCAGTGAGTGATAGCAGTGGAGATCTGCTTTGGAAGGGAGCTGCCAGGATGGAGGGATACCGACAACCTAAAACTTAGGAAGGAGTTGCCCTTCTAAGGTGGTGGTAGTGGGACCAGAGGAGATAAGATCAGGATTGGACACCTTCCTGCAAGTCTGAGCTGTCACTTTCCTTTCCTGCTTGGTTTCCTCATGTATAAACAGCTATCCTGCTTGAGGACACCATGGGCAAGTCTCAAACTTAGGCTTTCTGGGCTCTTCATCAGTGTTCTTGCCTCCATGGGGTTGCCTCTTTCTGGGAATGATCAGTCAACAAGGGCTGTCTTGTGAGGTGAGAGATCAGGAGTGCAGTGTTTGACTTTGGGAGCTCTGGCCATCAAATTCACATTCCAAGCAGCAGGACACATCTGCCATTGAAGAGACTTCCCAGAATCTCCAACCCATGTTTTGCTTATGTATCATTGGCTAGAACTTAGTCACATGACCATACCTCACTGCAAGGGAAGGTGGGAAATATAGTCTTTTATTCAGAGCAGCTGAGACCAACTGAGAATCTGTGACTGAGGAGAAAGGGGAACATTGACACTGGGGTGGGAAGCCAGTCCCCAACAGGTTTTCCATCCCATGCTAAGACCTAAAGGCTCTCCTTCCACCACCCCCTCAACTTCCACTCCAGTCTCGAACTCTGCTTGTGTTTCAAGGCTCTGTTTTGCCTTGTGAGTGTTCCAGATTTTTACCACATAGATTTGAGGATGACCATGCACAAGGCCCTCTTGGATGCTAGAAACTGAAACCCAATGTAGGCCACCACAGAAGAAAAGGGGAATTCATGTTTGCATGAGTAACTGGAAAGTCAGGGATGGTGCTGACTTTCAGAATGTCTTGGACCAAAGGTAGTGTTGGCTTCTACCAACCCCAGAGCCACCTCTTTGAACGGTGAGATGGCTGTTTCATTGCTGGCACCACAATTTTCAAGTTCAAGTCCTACAGAAAGGCCTTAACCTTTCTCTGGCAGCACCTGCAGAATTCCTATGGTTTACTCTGATTGGATCAGATAACAGGGCTTGACTTTTGTTTGTGTGTCCATCAGCAATAATCACAATGGCCAAGCGCAACAATGCTTTTGTTGGCCAGGCGTGGGAGCCCCACCCAGAACATTTCTTATGGGAGTGGGACTGCTCGCGAGTCTATTAGTCAGCTCAGGCTGCCATAAGAAAGTACCACAGTTTAAACACAGATTTATTTTGTCCCAGTTCTGGAGGCTGGAAGTCCAAGATCAAGGTGTTGGCATGTTTGGTTTCTTCTGAGGCCTCTCTCCTTGGCTTACAGATGGTATCCTTCTTACTGTGTCTTCACAAAATATGTTCTCTATGTGCATGCCCTTGATGTCTCTGTGTCCTAATTTCTTCTTATAAGGACACAAGTCAGACTGGATTTGGGTAACCCTAATGGTCTCATTTTAACCACCTCTTTAAAGGTCATGCTTCTGGACACAGTCACATTCTGAGTGATTGGGGGTTATGAATTTGGGGGAGGGGGATACAATTTAGTCCATAACAATGAGCAACCACAGCACAGCATTGGTCCGTGCTTTAAGGGAAGGGCATATGGGGTGTGGTGGTGCTCAGAGGTTAGACCCCAAGGTGGGAGGAGTGGACTGGACAGTGGAGATGAGCCTTGACCTGGGTCTCTGAGAGTGTGAAGAGTTTCATTTGTCAGTGAATGGGATCCCAGGCTGAGGGAACAGTGGTCTCAATATATGGACATTTGATCGCTAAAGGGATGGTGAACAAGGGTCTGCAGCCTCAGGAGGCAAGGTGTCGCTAGCCTCAGGGAAGGTGACAGGCTGTGTATTCAAGGGTCTTAAGATGACAGGGATTATTTGGGCATTTGTGTGGCCCACCTCAGCTTTATCAACTGCTATCCAGTGTGGCCCTTGGGGGGCTTAAGAAGACATTCACCTATGTCCAGGCTTTTGGTTTTCTTAAATCA